CCGCTGACTCCTTTTCGCTGATGGACAAACGCCGCTTGCTCCCATCGGATTCCAGACACAGTGAAGAACGCCAATATCTTGGTCGAGCGTTGCGCAGGAGTCTGCAAATGGACCGCGAAGCTTGGTGGTGTGAACCTGCTAGGGAGATGGATCTTGCTAGTCTCTGGTAATACCAGAAAACTCTTCCATCTCATTCGAGTCACCGAAGGTGTTCGATCTGGTATAAGTGAAACAATATGCGAAGAGGATGGCACCTAAATCACCAAGCTTCAACGACGGTTGGAGTGATGGGCCGAACATTTTGGCTCGCAGTTTTGTTGCCCCCCAGCTCCATCTGCTACTTCTGGCGCTCGCGCTGGGGCTGAGTGGTCTACCCCCACAGACCCTCCCTCATCCCTGGAAATCGAGCAGGAGCTGCGGCACATGAAACGTTATAAAGCCCCCGACCCTGATGGTCTTCCTCCGGCTCTATTTAAAGATGGTGGCGCATCGCCGGTCCGAGAACTCACCGCTTTGTTCTCGAAAATTTGATCGAAAGAGAAAGTTCCGTCATCTTGGGGTGAATCGATAATCGTCCCCATCTTCAGAAAGGGCCTGCACACAATCTGCTCCAACTACAGAGGAATAAGTTTATTCCCCGTCGTTTGCAAGCTGCTGGTGTCTATCATACTTCGCAGGCTATCCCCAACGCGCGAATCGTTGCAACGAGAAATATAAGCTGGGTTTCGCCCTGGTCGCGGCTGCATTGATCAAATCTTTACACTTCGCCAGACCCTCGAGCTCCGCCATGTGTATCAGAGGCCAACGATTGCTGTGTTCCTGGATATCCATGCAGCCTTCGATTCTGTCGATCGTACAGTACTGTGGCAGTGCCTTCTGAGGAACGGTGTCCCCGAGAAGTTTGTCTCCATCCTACGCGCTCTATACAGTCTGACCTCGGGCAGGGTTAGGGCTTATGGCATGCTTTCGCCTACCTTTGTGGTCTCCAGTGGAGTTCGACAAGGATGCCCTATCTCTCCGTTCCTATTCAACTTTGCCATTGAGGATGTCCTGAAGAACGCTCTGAGCGATTCGTTGAACGCTGGCGTTGAGCTCCTCCCAGGTAGTCGAGTTGTTGATTTGGATTATGCTGATGATATCGTCTTGCTGGGTGACGATCCACAGGTCGTCCAACTTGCATTAAACCGCTTGGCGATTGAAGCATCAAAGTACGGTATGTACTTTTCGCCATCCAAATGCAAGGCTCTCTTCCAAGACTGGCAGGTGACTCTGCCTGCACTCACTCTTGCTGGTGAGACACTAGAGGTTGTGGAGAGCTTTGTCTACTTGGGAAGTTGCATCACTGCTGGCGGGGCTGTTGGAAACGAGATTTCGATACGCATCTCGAGAGCAGGCCTCGCTTTTTCTAGACTGAGGCATTTGTGACGTCGCCACGACATTCCTCTCTTCATCAAAGGGCGGGTCTATTGTGCGACTGTTCGTGCTGTACTGTTGTACGGATGCGAGACTTGGCCCATTCGTAAAGATGACTTGCGCAGGCTATCCGTCTTCGAGCACCGCTGTCTGCGGTCCATTGCCCGTGTGTGGTGGCAGCACCACGTAAGCAATGTGGAAGTTAGACTGCGTGTCTTGGGACGTGGAAGCCACTCGCTCGAGGAGCTCGTCTCACTGCTTCAAGTGCGGTGGTTGGGACACGTATTGTGCATGCCTGTCCAGCGTTACCCCCGTCATGCGTTGGTTGCGGTTGCTGGACAGGGTTGGAAGAGACGGTCTGGTGGAAAGCCTACAGCATGGAGAAGCCGCATGAAAAAGCTGACGAAACAGTTGGCCTTGGCCGGTTGTTGTCGACTACCTGGTTGGGGTCCGAGAGATGCGGATACTTGCTGGTTGAAGACCTTGGAAGTTATGGCTCAAGATCGATGTCAATGGCGGACGTGTGCATCGGTTTGTTGCTGTGTGCCTTCTTCCTCCCCCTAAAAAAGAACAAACTGAAAAAATTTCAAAAACTGAGTGGTAAAATAGACAAGAAAGCATTTGTTGTTGTTCGTTTCTTATTATTCGTATTGTTTTCCTATTCAGCCATGATTCCGATGGCACAATATCTGTACCACAAATTGTTTATTATATATATATATATATATATATATATATATATACCCTCTTACGAAATTTGAATGTGATATGATTGAAAAGGTTCAACGGCGTGGGTCCAAATCTGTTCCTGAGTTGCGGGACCTGTCGTATTCTCTTCCGCTCAAACAACTTAACCTCTTCCCTGGATTACCATCGTCATCTCGGTGACTTGATCTTCACCCGACGTATTCTTAGAGGAGAGTTGGGGAGGGAATTACAGGAATTCTTTCAGCTCAACACAGAGAGTTCAACAAGAGGCCACAGTTTAAAACCGTTCAAACCGAGGAGTCATCGAGTGCGATCCAGTCTGGCTTTATCCACTCTCATTGTGAATGACTGGAACCGCCTTCTGGAGTCCATCATCGTTGCCGAGACCGAGGAAAATTTCAAGCATTTATTGAATTCTCATTTGACTTTACGGGGATCCAGCTGTTTCCAATGCAGCTTCAGTGGGACCTTATTCCACAGTGACCCAGGCTATCTCCGTAACGATTGGGAAGTGACGGAGCTGACAAAGGAACTTCCTTTTGCTCTCTATCATTCAATGATCCAATGATTAGCGCGGGAACTAACAAGACGGTCGAGTGTCGAGCCGGGTGTAGGTCAACATGGACGTAATTTAAGGGAGATTAAAAAAAGAAAGTATACCATTGCTCATCAGCGAAATTGCACACAAAAGATAAGAGTCATCTTTTGGACGTTGCAACCTGGTGCCCACGGAAATGCCCGATTACCTAGACCAAAATTGACCACATTACCATCAGCCATATATGGTGCACATCAAACTTTCGATCACTTTGAAGCACGTGGCTGAATTCACACCATGCTGTAGTGCGCACACACCTGGTGTCCACACTTCCCGCTTTGAAGAAGCGCCTAACTTGTAAGCTACTCACTGGTAACTTGAACGCACAGTCTTAACAAACTGGCCCACTAATTGTCAGTGATGAGTGATGAGGGTTAGCAGAACCCCGACTGGAATCGTTTTATGTGTGCCATGAAGAATGCTTCTGATGTGCATTGTGTGCCTGACTTGAGACGTCCGAACTGTTGGGTGAAACTATTTGGCGGCTGATCGGCTGCATTGTAAAGGAGAATGTCGGAGCACATAATAGGGCTTAGTAGAGTTGCTATTTGCCTTCCAGATTAAACGTGTCACATCGGTAGACGGACGACCTATCGGATGCAGCACAATCACTGCGTTATTGTCGTTCACGTGTCTCTGAATGCCTGGCTCCTAACTATTCCGTCCTACGATCATGCGGTTTTACCTGTCCTTCCTGGGCGTGCATTATACGCTGCCGTTGCATCAAGTTGCTCGAAACCACGAGCGGTCAGTCCTTCACGTGATACAAAGACATGAAGAAATTGACTGGAAGACTTGCTCGTGCCTGGCATATTTGTGATTGGGGACCTCGGTATGGTCCACCTCAATGGTTGAAATCTCTATCGAGCATGGCGCACTCGCGCAGCCAGTAACCTTCCTGCATTCGGTTTCTTGCATCTAGCTGTTAACTTTCCGTCAATCTTAGTTTAACGCACTTCTTTTTGACTATGTTTTCTTGACCTTCTACTTGTGTGTCAGTTGCGGCAGCTGGATCCAGTGCACCTCGGTGACCATGTCATTGTTCTTTAAACTGAACTTCGCCCGTTCTCTCGAGTTGGCACCATTATTATTATTGAGGATGTGGTAAGGCACCACACGCGGAACAAATTAGTGGACAAGTTGAATTTCACTGAATCGCTCGCTTATTTTTTATAGCTACAATGGCCAACAAGTCAACGTCGCTTCGATGGCATCGGAAAACTTTTTTTTTGAATCAGATCCACCCATCTCACTCACCATAGCTGGTGCATTCAGCACACTGGCTGACACCCAAGGCTGATGAATAAGAACAGGTGGGGATTCACAGTGGTTGTGGTAATCTACAGCCGTAATACCGTTTGAGCTCCCAAGCGCTTTGAGAGCTAATATGCTTTGTGGTCAATATTGCCACGCAACCTATACATGCTTAAGAACACCGTTTCGATGTTGTCATCTGGGAAGGTCGTGCACTCTACGCGGAACTGGTATCATCCTGCATAATTGAAAAGCAAACCTTTTCCCGTTTACCTCATGATACAGTGGTACTATTTGGGACCGGTGCATAACCCTCATACTAATACTTGGATGCAATCAGGAGCGTAGGTTACTGGATTAAACCCGCTGACATGCCACAGCTGGTACTCTGCTCTTCCTACAACGACCCCGACGATACTTTTGGCAGCCTTCGAGACCAACGCAGCAAAGTGGAGGAGTTGGAAAGTGAACGCAATGCAGCACGTAAAACCGGCAACGTATGATATTCAGAGGAACCGGTACGAAGCATTAAAAGTGCCTAACACTCTCCGGGGAGGATTTGGTGAGTACGTGGTGCATAGCACCCATTCAAATGTTGTTTGTTAGAGGAAATCATGACAGAGCCAACCCATTTATTCAACCTTTCTCAACTAGTGCATCCACCCTCCTTTATCACGTGACCTCGAAGTAATGGCACAAAAAGTTTGCCTTCCTTTTTATCCAGCGTTACTAATATAGCTGTAAGCAATTGATGAGCCATGTTGTCTTTGAGGACGTTGCACTTGCACCGTCGGCTTTGCTCACAATAAGCTTAAGCTCAGCTTTGCTTAAGTATGCCTAACGACAACCTGTTTCTAAGGGTACTGTTCTTACCGATCGACGGTGTTCCCACTGAGCCTCCAGTTAATTACTTCGACATCTGGCGAACTTCACTAGCACACTTCATTGAGAATCTCGTTTCAGTTTTCACTTGTGTCTCTGTTACTCTGAATCTCATGAATGCTCACACTCTATTACCGTGCTTTAGCTAATTCGCATTGCACCTGTGGACCTGGTTTGCTGCGATCAATACATGCTACTCATTCGTTTGACAACCCTCTGCATTTTGATCAATGTTTACGCGTGCACTTCCGTTGAATTCACTGTGGGAGCACTTGTTAGTAGTGAGGATGTTTTGAAAAATTTCAAGCGAATGGTGTCTGCTATTGGCGACGAGGTGAACGGCGATATCGTGCGCTTCAAAGCAAAGGGAGGAGTGTGTTATTTACGTTTATTGATGGTTTCCTAGATCCTTGCTTTGAATGCTTTAAAAGCGAGTGAGCAAGTTTGTACACTATTCAATGCAACCGATGGGCGACTGTTTGCTTTGATTGTTTCCCACCCGTCCGGAGCAGTTGGTGCTCCACCATTATCCGTGTCTTTCATCTGCTCCTTTTACCTTCTACCAACCTTGGGAGCCAGTGCGCGACAGTCAGTGTTCAGCGACAAATACAGCCACGCTAGTTTCCTGCGAACCGTACCACCATTCAGCAGAGAAGCGGAAATATGGGCAGACTTAATAGTTGCTTTTGGTTGGAGGGAAGTATGTGTTATTCATTCGGATGATCAAGATGCTAAAACACTTCTACTTGGATTGAAAAAGGCAGCAAAACGGCAATCTTCGCACGAGAATTATTTTAAAGTAAGTTTATCTCTTTGTCAATTCTGCAGTTTATTAGTACTTAAAGATATTATATATCTATATACTTACGATATTATTACCTAATGATATTGAGCTCCGCTTCAAACTTCTATGGCTGCTGTCGTTCAGAAATGCTTATGTGAAACCGCTGGCCAATCCGGTATTTGGACTTAGCTACCGGGACAGTCCTTTTCGCGTAGAATGTGCCCTAATGGTCACAAGGCATTGCTTTACGCTTGTAGCTAGCTGTAGGGTTAAGCAACACAAGCCTGGCTTGCAATCCGAGGGCGCGTGTTCAGCCTGCATAGGGGACCGGACGACCCTCTCGGTAGCCTTAACCCACGTTCGACTTGTGGGGTTGCGCGGCAGCGAAACGTCTGTGCTTCGTACCGGCACACTACTGACGCCACTTGTAGCGGATTTGGAAGCGGTGAATGGGAGTAAAGCATGCTATCACCGAGTCAGACATTATCTATCGTACCCTGATGTATGATAGTTGTTGTGCATTTGGCCCGTCGACTTGTCGCAATATCGTCTGGAGGGTAGCCACTGCAGTATCACGTGTTCAGGAGAACTTGATTTTAACGTGTTGTCAATCTTTTGCATTCTGGTACCAACTGGGCATTTCTGTTTGCTTTTTTTCTGCTATTTTTACTGAAGCGTTTGACTAGGTGGACAATTTAAAGCAAAATGGAAATTCTTCTAGAACTTGTGTCGTGTTTTATTATTTTGAAGTACAGTCGACTAAGGTATTAACTGGTCGGTCCCTCTCTTTTTAGGTTTTATCGTATTCTCATATTCTGTATCCTTTATTCTCTGGGGCCACCTTAGGGTGGTTTTGTTAGCCGACCACTTTACTCCATTTGCTGTCCTCATAAACTTGCGCGACTAGCACGGATACACTTTTCCTCTTTCATCCCATCAGATAATGCGACAGGTAGTCATCAACACTGATGAAGAGGATGCAGCTCGCATCAAAGATTTCACTAGCCTTCTTTTGCCAATTCGAAACGAACAAACTCGGGCAATACTGTTGTTCTTACGTCGTTCATTTGCGGAATACATCTTCGCAGCTGCTCGAGGCTTGGGTATGCTTGAAGCCGAATGGGCATGGATTGTGACTGAACAGGCTTTGCCTGCCTCCAATATCCCCCAGGGTAAGGTTTGCGTGATTTCTACGGCACGAAGGACGCACGCTTTTGTTCCCATTTGCACTGTGTTCGCAGGATATGGGCGCTTTGACTTAATAGGTTTTTATTTCACCTTAGCCGCTCCCTGACATACCTTATCAGTATCTGTCAGTTGGATCGTCTCTGCTGATACATGTTTCTACAGTAACGAAACTTCACTGCAAAGTGCTGATTGGCTGCTTATGCTCTTGTATGAATCGTTATGACCACCTCGATTGCTAACTCCGTGAACAGTCGTGCAAATACCGGTACTCCTGACATGTGGGCCGGATGAAACGGATTTTTGATCATCTTTTGAGTAAAAGCTTTTGAACTAACGTTCATCATCCAGATACACTGACGGCAAGTGAATTTTATGGGTGCGTCCATTTCGCAGTGCAATTACAGTGGTAGCAAGTTAAATCTGTTGGGTTGCGCCTTGGATACTATTCGGTAGCAGTGACGCTTAAGAGAAGTGCGAACTACGGGACGGTAGAAAAGCTGGAGGCGGCAAATGGACCCAACGTATAGTGTACAGGTTACAAGGAATGGGAAACGAATCAGCAAGGCGAAGAAACTGTATAGAACGGAACTCGCCAGAGAAGGTTGTGAAAACGATGTACAATCAGCAAAACCAATGGACGCTTAGAAGATTGAAACAACAATACAATAATGTAAAATACTGAACGAATGCGTTTTCAGGTGCACTACAGACCTGGAAATTGGGGTACCGAGTTAGCTAAAAAGTCATCAGCGGTATGCCGGCACACTGTACGGACGCTTCGCTATCACGCGACCACCATCAGTCGCGCGTGGGCTGAGTATACCGCGAGGGCGCCCACCCCTACGCGGATTCGAACCGGTGACCTAAAGATTGCAAGCCAGGCGTGCAGTCCTTTCGGCCACTGGCCGACAGAAGTATCGAGTACACTTCTCATCCATAGTCTTTGCATTGGTTCTTAGAGAAGCATGACGAGAATTGTCGTCCGGACTCCTTCATAAGATCTCAGTTTAACTTGACTAGTGTACAATAATTTCCTTGAGTGTCAGTCAGTCAGTATAAGCTTTATCTACCCGTATGGATGCATCCTCAGCGTTTTATATTAGCAGTTGCGGTTGGACTAGAATAATATAATCTTCTAACTAGCTTAACACTAGGAAAAGAGTGCACCGTTTGTTACTTACTCACCTCCTTGAGCAAACATCTCACATTGCTGAACAGATTCCTCAGCATTTGTATATAGTCGGCAGGGCACAATTCCAGTAAAAACTTTTTCGTAATCTATCTCGAATCGCCTTTTTCGTTATCAAACGCAACGAATGGCAAATGGTGCGTAATATCTCAACATCTGTATTCAAAATATTGATCGAGTAATGACGGCCTGAGTGACTATGGGAATATTTTAACCAGAGAAATCTTCAAGATATTTTTTCAAAATGCTATAGCTGCAGTTGAGCATGTAAAAATGCAACGCTCGTTTCAAATGCCAAGCCGTCTTGGGACCAGGCGACCATCGCTGCATCCGTAGCCCCCTCTCGACTAGTGATGGTTGCGTGGCAGCGAAGCGTCCGCACCATGTACCGGCGTGCTGCTGATGCCTGCTTTGTTTTATTTGGTAAGTACATGCATTACGGGTCAACCTTATTTGAATGAACTATAAGGCACCTTTTTGACGCATTTTCTCACACGTGTTTTTCTTCTTTGAATGTAGGTAACGTGCACAATTTGCGCTCAGAGTTGCCCAATTGTCGCTAAAAAAGCGGCTTTTGAGCTATTAGCCCTTCTGGCGCGTCGCACTGAAACTTCAGGCAGTAGTACTATGAGGTTGCAGGCTGACGGTTTTCCTGCTACCGATCATTAATCTTCCTGATGGCATCGCTACATTAGAATTATCATGCAGAGGCAATTTGACTTCTACTTTGTAAACGACGACTTTTCACCCTGAATTTTATCGAGTGCAAACACTTGTTATGTTTAAAAACCAATGCTTGTTTGTTTGACATTATCTGTCTTGTTCACCGTCGCCATTTCCATTTCACAGGAGTCATAGGCGCTCGCCTGTTAAGAGCTAGCGAGATGGATCATGTGGCTGATGCTGTTCGGGTGGCTACGCAAGGCATACTCTCGATGATGCGAGCCTATCCGGATGCTATGCGTTCTCTCCGCTCGGTCAGCGTATGTAGAGAGGATCCGCTTCAGATTCAATCCTCCCCCGGTAATGATAATCTGGTGTACGATTGGAACGAGTACGCAAGCAAACTTTACAAGTGAGTAGATCACGTCAACTTATGACCTTTTTGCTTTTTATACCAACTGATGCTTCTCAGGAGTGTCAACCGACCGCGTTCGCTTTAGCCCCTGTGGTGGCCATCTTCCAAAAGACAGCAATTCGCAAAATTTTGAGGTCTCCCTTCTATCTGTATGTAAACACCTGATTTGTCGCGTGTTTTGCTTCGTGGCTGCCACTGGGCTGTGCATGTACCTGCCCGTATTCAATTCAAGTCATTGTAGGCTCTTTATGAACCCGACTAGGAACATTTTCAGCATTTTACGATAGCATTGCGTATGAGGCATAACGTAAGCATGGAATTGCAATCAAAGCGTCAAAAGAGGAAAACATGCATGTACATCGCATACCAAACCTTCGCTCGTGGTGCTGATAAGTTACTTGGAGTCCACAAGAAAACGGGATAAATACAGTAAGGTAGAGTTATGATAACATGTGTGAGAAAACAAAATCCTAAATTTAGTTCATGTAGACGAGCAGGAGAGATCTATTGATAAATCAGCTTGAGGTAGGTGAAAAGGGTCATTTAAAACCTTTACTGAAAGTTATGCACCAAAATGCTTAGTAACGACAAAATCAACCAGAAACTCTCTGGACAACCCACTACACCTGGAAATGGGCTTAATAAAACGCACAATCACTGTGAAGTCTTTTCATAAAAGTCCAGGAGGAATGATAGCTCGGTAATATAGACAATTGAGGAGGAATACATGGATTTTGTAAATTAAGGAACAGGGTACTGAAAGCATTTTGCTAATTTTGCACCTTGCGGAACGTTTCGTTAACGTGTGTTGACCAAGCTGGATTATACACCAAGGCGCTTAACGGTGGATGGATTGAGTATGTTGTGGCCGCTTACGACCGTGGGGCGAGAAGTGTTTGCCGAATTCAGACATTTACTAGTGGGGAGAGAAGAAGGATCGGGAGGACGGCTACTGCTGTGGTTCCTCCAATCTGCTTTAGATAGCCGTTGATTATTCAGCAGTTGGCGCAATGCTGCTTAGAACTACGTCGTCAGTGAACTTACATCCGATTAAGTTGAAAGGAATTGGAGGCATTTTGATGTATGGAGAGAATAGAAATGAGAAAAGGATTGCTCCTTGTAAGACACCCTAGTCATCACTAAGAGTTGGGGGGTTATTTTACCGTCGAGCTGGGTAAAATGGGATCGATTTACGAAGTAGTTGCTCATCAGGTTTCACACCATTTGTTGAGCACCATTCGCAGACAACTGAGTAAGCAAGATTGATCTGTCGACACTTCCAAAAGCGTTGATGTAATCAAGCAAGTGGAGCTGCACAGTCTCGCATTTCTCCTTCAATGAAGACGCTATTGAGTGGACAAGCTATGCTGTGACATCCAACCTGCAACGTCGGGGTCGGTACGCGTTCTGGGATATGTACACCACCGAAGTTCTTGTTGAAATCCAAGTCACAAGTAGTCGCTCGAAGACTTTCAGCATGACGGGCGGACAAGCGTTTGGACGGAATCTCGTTTATCCCTTCCTTAACATGGGCGTTATCCCAACAGACCTCATACTGTCGCGAATAATTCCACCATGTAGGCACCGTTTAAAACATCCGTCATGGGCATGGTAAGAGTCTCGGTTCACTCTTTCAAAACAAGTGGAGAAAATGCACGGGCCCACTAGCCTTCCTTCAGCTCATATTTCTGAGCTCATAGTGGGCTTCAACATGTTGGAATGTAATTTTTGGGCGAGAGTCGGAGAACGAAGTCATTGAAAATGAAGGGGTGGAGGTTTCTTCATGCGAAGAAGAACGAAACTCAGCATTGAGTCTCACTACATCCACATATCCAAGGTGCTTTTGGGAGCTTTTGCCGCACAGCTGCTTTAAAAGTCTCCGCAGGTCTCGGCGGTTTTGGTTGCATAAAACGGCAACGATATATGTTATTCAATCGTGAAATCTCACTCTTTATTTCTAAAAGCATTAGCAGTAGGCCGATACGCAGTACCGACGCTTCGCTGTCTCGCAACCACCACCGATCGCACGTGAGCTAAAGATACTGCGAGGGTCGCCGGGTTTCTACGCAGGCTCGAACCCGCCCCGTCAGATTAAAAAAACAAGCTTGTTATCCTTAGGCTATGGGCTAATGGATTGCTTGACACGGGAGTCATTTTACATTCATAGACCCGCTCTTATTTCCTTCTAAGTTGTTTAGGTAGTGGCGAGGAGAATCTGTCTACTCGTAGGTAGACGGTTTCGATCGGGAAGCATAGATCGCGGAAAAGTTACGGTAGTCAGATGGTCACACTGAACAGGCAGATATTCGTCGTTAAATACTGTAAAATCAGTAGAAGCCAACATTTCCTGGAATCTCGCAGTATTGTGTGATGAATATTCTCATCGCCTCACAGTTTTGAGAGGTTTATTAGCCAATGAACCTGCTGTGAGTCTCACCATAAACAACGTGGCGCAGTTCCATTATGCAATGATCGGAGTTACCGAGTGGGGCACATTTCTGCGCAGTAAACAGCCAAGCATGATTTGTGGAGACGAAATTTAGTCTGATTGGAAAGGTTACTATGTTAGTCAGATTTAGTGCCTCGATGAGTGCCCTGTCATTTTTATTTAAGTCCCTGGAGATGACAGACTGAACGATTAAGTTTAAGCAGTAACGCCGAGGATAGACCATCCACAACTGTGTTTGCAGGTTTGACAGCGTTTGCTACTTAATACACCAGTTCTGGCTGCCGTTTGAAATTAATGTTGACAAGGTTCCTACCTCAAAAAATGCCAGCTGTTCTCCGCAATGACACTTCGCTGCCGCGTGATCAACACCAGCCGCGCGTGGACTGAGTATACCGCGAGGACGCCCAACCCCTACGCGGATTCGAACCTGTGGCCTTATTGTTGCAAACCAGGCGTGCAGACCACTCGACCAGCTGCCGACTCCTACCTCATTAGTAGATAATAATAATAATAATAAATAATACTAATAATATGCCAGTTGTACGTCGTAACGACGCTTCGCTGCCGCGCAATCACCACCAGTCGCGCGTGGGCTGAGTATACCGCGAGGACGCCCACCCCTTCTTGGATTCGAACCCGCGCCGCAAGATTACGAGACAAGCTCGTTACCTCTAGGCTACGGGCTGATCCATGCATTTAGTGGGACTCATTTAGTTCGTCGCAATTAGATTACTAGTCAGATGGGGCAACCACAATTTCGGAAAAGCATCAGACGACAGTTTTATCCTCTGACGCGCAGTGGAGGCTGGGTCGGGCTGTATCGCAGTTAGGTCCAAACACATGATGATCAGCTCTCGTCTCCCATGGCTCAGTGTCTATCTATCGAACACCGCCACCTCGATTACTGGCTCCAGGGGACTACTGTTTGTTACTGGGTTGGACAGAGTGCTCATTCTTCGTTATAGTGCTGGGCTCAAAGAGTGGCTCCATCCAGTATAGAACAAGGTACGGACTAGCCTCCGCAATGTGTACGTCTGATATGCATTGTTCTCCGATATCATATGATTGATGTGCATGTTGGAAGAGTGCATGTTGGAGAGAGTGTAAGCCTACTCCCAGTCACCCCAGGCTTCCGTTCACATGCCTCCTAATCCTATTCCTTAGTGTGTACACTGGATATAGGGTGTGCGGGTGGTGCAACGCAAGCCACTCATTGACTCTGTGCATTCACGGGTGTCCTGTGGCTGTTCCTAGTCGTAGTGACAGGCAAATATATACGTATACTTATATCTGTGTGCTTGTTGACAACCCACACACCCACTTGACACTATCTCCAGAGAACATGCCGCTCGCTGTCCTTGGCTTTCATCACCATACAGGACATTCCGAGTGGAAACAGTGAACTTTCGGATTCAGTTTCGCTGGAAGCGCTATTTTTCTTCGATCATCTGATGCTTGGGTACAGGTAGTTCACTTTTTACTGTCCGAATGCGGTTCACAACAGGTCTTGTGGAATCTGCTTACGGTACAGAAATCTCACAATAAATGTTACCGATACAACGTACGGTGAACCTGGCTCCTGTGGACTGGATGATAACTGGTGGCGAATACCGGATTGCTCAGCAAGCCATCGGAGACTCGAAGTGGGGAATGTGCGCTGCCGAACTTCACTGTTATTTCTAAGGGGAGGAAGCAATCCATAATGCAGAATACTGGCGTGTTAAAACCACTAGATTTGGAGACTGGGCCACAACCCGCATCGATAGCACTGCGCACGTACCTATGTTTGCGCATAGTTCGCTTTTGAGGAGATTCCTCGCAGCTACAACCCGAAATCCACCGCACATCCAGGAAAGTGATGGACGGCGATTTCACCTTATTGGGACTTGTCACTAGAGCACATCTGCCAGATCCTGCCAGATCCGAACCCACGAACTTACTCTTAAGGGTCAGTGACTTATGCCACTGAGCCGTGTGTGACGGCGACGGACCGCCATAGCTGATATCTAATTGTGATATAGCGCGGATCATCCTCCACTGTTATGCATGTTATGAACGTGTTGAAAACAGGGCTGGCCCCTAGAGCTACAACTTCCTTTGCAAGCCGCCACCAATCGAGGTGCCATGTAAGCTGCTAATGCGGTTACTGGTTGTTAGGGATTAGTAGGGGGGATTTATTGTGTTCTTGCGAAGATTAGTTGCAGCTAGACTCAGTCAACTATCCACCATACATCCAGGGTAGCGCTAGACGGCCGTTTTGTCCTATTGAGACTGGTCTGTAGCGCGCGGTTAGAAATCAGCCATAGCAGTCTGCCGCATCTTTAAGGTAATAGTTAATTAATTAATTTAATTGTTCAAAGTTGGACTCGGAGAACTCGCTGTATGGTTGCATTGCGACACGCAACTTCTATTGAGCCCTCAGTTTACTTTGAGGTAGACCTCGATCATTCCGATCGCAAGCACCGTATCCGAAATGGAAATATTTCGGTATTGCTCCTCCCAACACTGGCACAGCACGACCGTGGTTACGTTCTGGATTGGACTCCTCAGGTGGAGATAGCCTGAGCTAGGCTGGAGCTCAGATCCTAGTAGTTCACGGCTGACGCCCTGAAAACTATGTTACTGAGATCCGCGAGCATTGCTCGGCACAGCGGAAAGCAATTCAAAGTTGCATTTAGCAAACACGCTGTGTGGTTGGGTTGCGACTAGCAACCTCTATTGATACCTCGGTTCACTTTCAGGTAGACCTCGGTCATTCCGATCGCAAGGACCGTATCCGAAATGGAAATATTTCGGTGTTGCTCCTCCCAACACTGGCCCACCACAACCGCGGTTGCGTTCTGGTTTGTTCCTTTGGAATAGACTTATGGATGTCTCTCAATATTTACTTTCCATGATTTTCACGCACGTATTACTTCTAGGTGGCTTATAGTTGCCAACAAGCGTGCGTGAACCGCGCTGTGTACGATGCTTTTTGCATACTTCACGTCTTCCTCTTTACCTTTTACCACTCGGTTTAAGATATTCGTCTTCCACCAACGAAAATTGATCCATAATTTAGTATTTTATTATCATCATAGTTTTCACTCACAGAGTTCTACTGAATTAAGGAAAACCTACCACCGCATTTTAGCCTACCGAAGAGTTTGTTTTACCATAATTCATGTATTATGTACAGCGAAATTTCCATCTTACTTTCACACCTTTAGCGTTACCGAAAACGCACAGGCTATCGGATGCAAGATTCTCACTGTAAATCATTTGTCATGGAAGTAGTCAAGTGAACTGGTCGTTTATACGGTTCGGTTTACCTATTTCGTTCTCTAACGATGAACCGAATTCCCAATGTTGCCGTAGACAACATATACACCTTGATTGTATCAATTTTTAGGCAGTTCACACCGGAGAACATATATATATATATATATATATATATATATTCAACACTATACCAATTCGGATATAATTGGTTGAGTGCCATAACACGTAAGAAGAAAAATGGATAGCATGAAAGGGAAAACAACTGTTAGGGTAGAAGTGTCTCACAGCAAGTGCGCCATTGCGTACGGTCCTTGGCCATATCCCTCAGCGTTTGTAACCAAGTGTGCTCGAGGTCCTTTGGTCGCCAACCCGAGAGAAAGGCCCGACAACAGCCAGCTTCACCCTTTGCGCTTTAACACATTTGATCCGAGTTTCACATTGTCCTTCTTTTCGTCACTTTCAAGCCACACCCGTGCTCGCGAATAGGGCTCGTCGTGGTAGCCGCTGGGTAGGCATGCAAAGCACATGGCCAAGCCAGCAAAGCTTCCGCAGTGAGATGATGCTATCAATCGGTCTGCGGAGTTCGTTAGATCTAAAGACTTGCCGATGGATTGCCTCATTACTGATGTGGGGGTGCCATCGTACACCAGCAATGCTTCGCATGCAGCGTTGATCGAAGACTGAGAGCCGCTGAACATCGCTTTTGCGAACGGGCTAAGTCTCACAGCCGTACAGCAGAATCACTCGTACCGTAGCATTGTAGACTCGTCCCTTGAGAGCGAAGCTGAGATCACGACGAAGCTACAGGTGACGAAGGTTAGCGAAAGCGACTATAGCCTTGGAGACACACAGAGAGATCTCATTTGTCAAACCGCCAATGTTACTACAACTCTCAAGATAAATGAATTTGTCGACCACTTCCAGCGGATTCCCCGAAAGGGTGAGAGAAGGACATGCGCTTGGCCAGTCCTATAATAGGACCTTAGATTTGGAAGGGGCAAAGCTCAACCCAAATTGGGTGGCGGACATCTCCAATCTGAGCAGCACATGCTGGGCGGCTTGGGATGACTCGCAAATCACAGCGATGTCATCGGCGTACTCTAAGTCCCGAACGCAGTCAGCAGTGAGCAGTTCAACACGGCAGGACTCAGAGTTATCCAATGCAGTATCCAGGATCTGGTCCATGGCGAAGTTGAACAAGAATGGAGAGGCTGGGCAACCCTGTCTAACACCGCTAGTGATAATGAAAGGGAGCAAAATGTCTCCGTAGGCTCGCACGCGACCCTAAGTTTGATGGTAAATAGCACTGAGAATGCTGATGTACTTCTCAGGTACTCCCCTCTTCAGTAAGCAGTCCCAAAGAGCCACTCTGTCAACAGAGTCAAAAGCGGCTCGAGTGACCAAGAATATGACTATAGTTGGTCGACTGAACGTATGGTGATGTTCAAGTATGTGGCGGATCGTAAAGATGTGATCGACGCAACCTCGACGCGGGCGAAGTCCAGCTTGTTGTTCACGCAGGTGCTGTTCCCGTACGCAACTGAGCCTCCGTAAGAGTAGGGCAGCGAGCAGTTTGGATGCGACACATATGAGGCTGATGCCACGATGGTAGGAGCAAATGGTCCGGTCTCCTTTTCTGTAAACAGGTACAACATCCGTTAACTTCCAGTCGTATGGAATGGTTTCAGTAGTCCAAATCTTATGGAATAGAGATGTCAGTTCGTGAGTGAGAGTTGGATCTCCATATTTGAAGATGGCATGAGGAAGTTGATCTGGGTCAGGTGATTTGTGGCGCTTTAGTAGGCGAAGCTCATTGGAAACCTCAGCTTCTGTCGGTGGAGGAGCATCCACGCACCAGAGAGCACTGTGTACCCCGGAAAATAGACTTGGTTGCGCTGCTGGCCAGTTGAATTGTTCTTCAAGTTGCTCTGCCCATTATACCAAACGACGTTGAAGACTGAATTAGTTCACCGTCATTTTCATGCAAAACCTCACTCACTGTTTGATTTTCATCCTTCCGTGGAGCGAATAAGTTGTAAGAGTTTGTGGGAGTTTCCTGATGAGATTACCTGCTCCATCTCGACGACGCGCTGTGTCCACCCAACTTCGCGATCCTTCCTGAGGAGCTGTCTAAGCTCACCACCTGCGGTTCTGCGCTGCTCGCAGAGCTCAGGCTTAGTGACCAAGGCGTAAGCCACCAACAACTGCATGTTTGGTTTCTACTCCCAACCTGATGAATCCAAGTCATAATGAAACCAGGTCGGTCATGGGGTGCAGTGTTGGGAAAAAGGCAGCTCCGCAATTCTCCACTTCGGATGCTGTCTCAATGCTCGAAATGGCGGACGGTTTGCTTCACAGTAAACGCTGAGATTACGTGTCGCAATCCAGATACACAGTGGGTACTCCAGGACCCAACGGTGAATCTATTAGATATGTTTCACTTTAGTCGGACCACTTATTTTCTGTCGTTACATGTCCAATCGAGTGTCCTGCTTTGAGTTTCCCCAAATGAAGTTTATTTCCGATATTACGGCCTGGTGAGCACGACTGCCGTAATCGGCGCGAACGATACGGTTGGCACGAAAAATACTGATCCCGCAAAGCTTGTATACCTCCAAACCGGACGGAACGCAGTTGTCGGTAGTCACACTGTCAACCGCTTGCCACCCACGCACGCAACCCCCAAAGGAGCGAAGACTGACCTTCAGCAGGTGGTAAGGCAACAACATGGTCGTACAGCCTCGATTCTATATCGAGACTGTGGACATATTCTGCGTAAGCGAACGCAAGGAAAGGCGAGGAAAAGATCCTAGTAAAGCGTGAGCACGCAAGTGGATTCACACGCAATGTGTGGGCGTGTCTTGCGTGGTGCGGCATGTATCTGAATGGTAAATTCAACTAAGTACAATGTCGCGATTTCGACTTGCTCGACCTTGTGGAGGCAAGCGCTCCCCATAACAATCACACCTCTTACGTGTCGGTGCTCTGCACTGTTCTCGTGAATAAAGAGACGAACTAAGCTACCACCAACAAACCATGCATGGCTTTGTGGTCCTATATTCGGCCACCTTGCTTCACCGTCGTCTGTTTTTAGTCGCGTGTTGGTTCTCTTGCAGCCCTTTAGTTTCATCTTTCTAATCTATATCACGGTTTGCAGCAATGTGGAGCGTGGGGATTCCTCACTAGTCACTATGCAGAGTTGGTGTACCACTGCATTCATGAACCAAGCTGTTTATGGTTCTCAGCAAACCCTTCATCTTTGTTCTCACCATCCTATGGTCTTTCATGGGACTTTTACTTTGTTTGCATGCGTTTCGCCGTCATTGAAGGGGACTCTTCTATCCATTGTTGGGTCGCATAACAATGGGTGCACGGTAGAAACCGAGGTTTACGCACCATCTGCTTAATTGTTGTACCCATCATTTTGTTCGGTTTCCCGTTGATCCACTAAAACACTGACCTTGTTGCACTTTCCCCACCGGTTTCATCCAATTTCAGTCACATGCTTCAAGTTAATTTTACTGACGGCAGAACTGGTCCAATCGAATTCGACACGAACGGCGATCGTGTCAGACCAATGTACGAAATTGTGAACGCACAACTCGTGGCTGATCCGTCGAATGCGGCGAAATCATCTTTCGGGTTCCAACGACCGGAGCTAGTACCTGTCGGACTGTATGGACTTCCACAAGTGAGTCGCCCGCCCGTAGCCATACAAGTCCCAAGCCCGCTTTCTAATCTGAGAGCGCGGGTTCGAGCCTACGTAGGGACCGGGCGACTCTCGCAGTATCCTCAGCCCACGTGCGACCGGTGGTGGTTGCGGGGCAGCGTAACGTCGGTACTACCTACTGGCGTATTGCTAATGCCTTCTTTTTCTTTTCCTTCCAAATGTGAGTCAAACACCACGAATCCATCCGTTAGTGATCTTTCAAATCGATTTCAGCTCGTTGCTAAACTCGTTAACCAACTGCTATACCACAGGCGACTGGTTGGCGCGTGCTTACTTTTGAGAACATTTGTAGCGCTCCTGTGCTCAGATAATCTGGGTTACCACTGAGCACATCAAAACGGCCTGCACGAAGTACGAGGAAGTAGAAGGCGACTCGCGGTTTTCTCTAGCTGCTGAGCTTTAACTTTCATCCCCGACGTCAAGACTATTGCTCTTGTCCTTTCTTCTGGCATCGGTTTGATGACGTTCCCTTAAGTACACCACTCACAAAGTTTGTACGTGTTTCCATAGGCCCTTTCCACTGGCTGACGGTTGCATCTGTGTGTGCACACAGAATCATGAACAGAATGAGTCGGAGTGACGCATATCTTACTAGTTGGATTATTCTCTGGTGAATGGTCTTATATTCTTGATACATATTTTATTTGGGTAACAGCATGCTGCTCATAATCGTAAAAATCTTTTAGATCATCGTCTAGCGTCCACATTATGTGGCCACTGTGGGGCACGTCTCTACCATAGCTTGTACCTTTACTCCGTCTTTCCCACAGCCCACTCCGACCCACTGGTACTCTTCCTTTCCCTACCCAAACCTGCTTCTGATCAATATGTCTGCGTTGATCTGGCCGTCCAACAGTGTTGTGCGACGTCGCCAATTGGTTTGCATTCAAAGGGATCCAGATGGCAGGTGCCGTCAGACTGAGAAACAGACTGTGCCAGCTGCTCCGATGAGTTTTAAAAAGAAGACGCATCTCAAGGTGGGTCAGTGTTTTCAGTCCGTTGCAGAAATAATCATATATGTTATCTTTCTGTGAGGATCTTACACCCGCACAATATATATATATATATATATATATATATATATATAGATGGATTGGCGGCATCTGTATCCGGATTTGCCTGTCACTGTGGCCAGCCACAGGACGCCAGCGCCTACGAAGGGGCCATGGGTGGCTTGTGCTGCACCACCCACAGTTCCACCCACACACCCAATATCTAGTGTAAGACCGGAAGGTATGTGGATGGGAGACACGTTTCATCAACGGAGCCGGCCCACACTCCTTCCACAAGCAGAACAGAAGCATCCCGGCTTAATTGGGAAAGCATGCACACCAGACGTACACAAGGCGGTGGCTGGTCCGTAGCCCCTTCCACACAGGATGGAATCACTTTTTGAACCTAGCACCGTCACGAAGATAGTGTACTCCGTCCCCTCCAGCAACGACCAACTGTCTCCTGGAGCTAGCAATCAAGGTGGAGGTTATCAGACAGGTAGGTCTCTTGTCAACATTCACAGGCGCGGCCACACCGGGGAACTCAAACAACATCTACTTCTGAAACGCAAGAATACTCATCGCGCAGGCAAGCGTACCATATGCGTCGCCTTTTTGACCTGGATTAGTAAATTGAATGGGAGCGTACTCATGGTGCTTCTATTCCGCGTGTAATAGTGCCTTCTCCTGCACCTGAGCAATCACTCTTTTTAGTAGTCCACGGAATTCGCATTGATCAACACTTGACTTGGATTTGCAACACCTGTAATCAAAATTAGTTTGTCATAGACTCACCTTTATGTCCTGACAATGTTCTTTTCGGTTTGCCCTATTGCCACAAACTGGATAGAGACACATTAGACCTCATGAACACTATTACTAACGACGTGTATGGGTATCGTTTGGAGGTCAGGCTAACAGCTTATCGCACAGGCATGAATAAGTATCCAAAACGAACTGTTGGTCTTTTCTTTAACATTTAGACATGACAGCTTTAAATCTTGGGCATCTATTTTGGCACGAAACCGATATGAGAATAGGGACGAAATTGTCATCAGTACGGTTACCAGGTAGCATGATTAATAAACAAGTGGTACATTATAATAGTGTGTACTTAGGTGTTGCCTCCCATATGCACGGTCTGACTGGCGTAGCTGATGTGGGAGCTCGCACAGCGTGCGAATGCGATTGGGTGTTCACTTCAGTCACTCCGTGTTGCCGATCGTTCCGATCATCTGTTGCCCGAAGTACGAGTGTTGTGCAACTTTAAACATTGACAGGTGTCAATACCACATATTCGCCGTTTACGGCCTCATTGGAGAGACAACTACCGCCATTCTACATCAATTAGGACCCGCAACTTACTGTCAAACATGCGGCTTTCTAAACAGTGTGCGCATTGTTTTGCAAATGTTCAAGACATAGCATGGATATCATCCAAGTACTCAATCGTTTGTATATACCGATGTGTATTCTGCTGAGGCCATAAGCTATTTGGTAACGATCTGTATCGTACATCTCGGGCACAGCCATTCGGCGGTCCTAAAACGATTCATTTCTGATGTAATATACTAAAACACTGACGTACCATTACCGTTAGCATTACCTTCTTCTTAGTCTATCCAGAAGATTGGACATGTCCAATTTAACTTCTGGTAAGCGTCTCTGAGCTTCAATTTTCAATCCACTTGGTACTTGCGTTTTCATAAGCCCCGGTCAATTCAGTATGGCTGACAAGCAACGGGAAATATAGCTATGCCCACTCATCAATAACCTATGGAGCGGAACTTGAATTGTCGACATCATGATAATCTCTAGTCAGTTACTTCTCGGGATTGTTCACTTGTCACGGAATTTCCAGGGCAATTTCTCTTCGGATGCAAAGTCCAACTTGGTTACAGAAAGCGCAATCATTGAGGATTGTGCTCCAGATGTCAAACTTTACACTATGTGCGTATTATAAGCGGCCAAGCACTGGTAACCCTTGGGTTCACAAGTAACTACCGAACTGGAAACATACTCAATGCGTTGCCACCCCTAGCATTGATGCGGAGAGCAGTCAGGTTTCCGCCCAGGACGTGACTATATAGATCATATATTCACTCTGCG